GCGGCTGGCCGGTGCGAGGAGGGACCCTGGCCACGGGAAGAACCTGTCCCGTTTTGGAGGGGTCGGTGCGCCCAGCAGCTGCCCATGGCCGGTGGCAGTGGCTGGACCCCTGGAAAAGGGTGGGTGGGAGCTGGCCGAGCAATGTGGAGTTGGGGGACAGGACCAGGATCCCGCAGAGTGACTGTCAGGTGGGTCCCCGTCTCCCCCAGCCAGTCCCACTTTTCTCAGGACCTGCAGCCCCGGCCCTTGGAGGGAGCTGGTCCTCAGGGGGGAGGCTGGGCCCTGAGGCCCTGGGGCCAGGAGGACAGCATGCAGGGCCACCATCCCATCACCTGCTCTGTGACCCCTTGCGGCGTAGAGGAGCTGGCTACTTTTCTAGGAGCTCTTTCTCACCCAGCCCAAGTGGAGCCTGGTCTGGGACGGGGTCGTGTCCTCAGATAGGGGCCTTGGGGTGGCCGAGGCTGCTGGGCCTGGTCCAGGTCAGCTGCCCTCCCCAGGAAGGCCCCGTTATCTCAGGGGCCTCCTTTTTGTTCCCGTGATTCTTGTGGGGGCTGCTGGTTTCTATGGTGACGGCATGAGGGCCAGCTCGCTGCCTGGGGCACTGGGTGCTGGGTTCAGTCCACTGGTGCTGTGAGCCCCCTTGCCCAGGGCCGAACTGCCCGCAGTGGAAGCCTGGTCACTGGGCTGGGCAGGCCTTCACTGGCCCATGGGGGAGGGAAGGGCCGGGGGTCTTGGCTCACTGAGCTCTTCCGCCCAGAGCTGGTGTGGAGGCCACATGGGCAGCAGGTGGGGAGGGCACACGGAGGGTCGTTGCCGCCAGAATTACAACCACACTGCTCCGGGCATGTGGGGTCCTTGGCCCTCGTACGAGGGGGTGGTGAGCGGAAGGCCGCTCCAGGCCTCTCTGAGGACAAGCCCCTACAGCCTCACCGGGAGGGCGGGTCCTGGCCGTCTCCCACCTGGCCGAGCCTTGGGAGGCCTGGCGTAGAGCGCGTGTTCAGCCAGAGGCCCTGGGGTGGATGGGGGGCTGTTGCTCGGGACTCTCCAGAATTGAGGGGCTTGGATGCTGAGGGGACCCCTCAGGGAAGATCAGGCACCCTGAGAGGTGCCTCAGGTTGGGGAAACTGAGGCAGACAGGTACAGACTGCATCCTTAGAGGGCTCGAGGCTTTGCTTAGCTGGGCGAGTTGGGGCGCCCCATGCCGGCCTGACCCATCTGTGTCAGCATTCTCAAAGGCAGGACAGGGCAGCCAAGGCCGAGAGAACGGGGGCTCCCCACAGCCACAGGGCCACCCACTCTGGGGGGACGAGGGAGGGGCTGGCTTGCTGAGTCTTGGCTTCCCCGTCTGTAAGAGAAGGTGACTGCCTGCCCCCGTGGCCCCCGGGGGGGGGGGGCTCAGAGCAGGGAGCAGGGATCACATTGCCTCCTGCCATGATCACCCTGCCCTTAGGGCCCCATGCCCCTCCTCTCCTTGCCTCCAGTCCCTGCCGGCTCCAGCCCCTGTGAGAGGTAGCTAGGTGACCCGAGTCCCAGAGTGGGCGTGGACGGAGAGGAAAGGGGAGCGCCCAGCACTGACTGCTCATCTGTCCTGGTGTGCTGACCCCTCTGAGTGTGGGGGCATGACAGATGAATTCTCAGACAGGTCCAGGGCACCCAGGCTGGAAGGACAGGCTGAGGGAGGGTGCTCAGGGGGCACACAGCAGCTCCTTCTCCCTGCTGGGGGTGACTTGCAGAGAGGTCCTCAAGGAGATCTGGAGGGGGCTCTGAGGGGTGAGTAGGAGTTCAGTAGCCAAGCTCTGTGGGGAGAAGCGACACTTCTTCCAAGGAGAGTTGAGCAGAGAAGCTGCTAGGGAAGCGGGAGAGGGCATGTGGTTTTAGGGGGCCTGGGGGGCAGGAAAAAGTGGGGCATGGGCTGCTGGCCTGGCTTGGGTCAGGGGCAGAGCTTGATGTTCACTCTGAGGACGGTGGGGAGTCATGGTAGAGACTGGAGTGAGGGGCAGCCAGGGGGTGGATGGGAACGGGGTTCTGGAGGGGTCCCAGCAGGTGCAGAGGCAGAGCAGCACAGCCGGCAGGCAGGGAGGGGGCCCAAGGTGAGCAGGGCCAGGCACAAGGAGACTTGGGTGCTGCCTGCTTTGGCCCCGTGGTGGCCGGATGGGCGCGCTGGGAGTGTGGTGCAGGTCAGAGCTGTCTGTGTGGAAGGCTGCTGCAGGGCACCCCAGGGCTATGGAGTGGATCTCAAGGACCTGGAGTCCAGACAAGGGCCCAAGATGGCTGTTGCTGTGGGGTGCTGTGGAGGGATGAGATCCTGGGCAAGGGGCATGGAACAAGGAAGATGAGACCCAGGTATCCCCTCAGGAGCTGGGCACGGCACCAGGCAGGCAGGGTATAGATCTGCTGTACTGCTGCCAGGCCCACAGACTCAGGAAGGTTAGGTAATCCTCTGAGTCACACCTGTCTCAGAGCTGTGGTGGAGATTCGACTAGGTGACGTATTTACAGCCTAGCAGCCTTGTAGTAAACAGTCTGTAGAGGACAGTTGTTATTCTTTCTGTGCTGTGCTGAAACTCTTCGTGGTCTGATGGGGGTCAGGACACAGTGAGTGATGGATCAGGGCTTAGCATATGACTAGAGTCAGGCTTCAGTGTGTGACCAGGGTCAGGGCTCAGAGTGTGACCAGAGTCAGGGCTCAAAGTGTGGTCAGGGACAGGGGCTCAGTGTGTAACCAGGTCAGAGCTTAAAGTGTGAGCAGGGTCAGGGGTCAGGGCTCAGTGTGTAACCATGGTCAGGGCTCAGAGTGTGACCAGGGTCAGGACTCAGTGTTATTGGGATCAGGGATCAGTGTATGGCCTAGGTCAGGGCTTTGTGTGATCTAGGTCAGGGCTCAGAGTGTGACCAGGGTCAGGGCTCTGAGTGTGGTCAGGGACAGGGGCTCAGTGCGTAACCAGGGTCAGGGCTCAGCGTGTGACCAGGGTCAGGGCTCAGAGTGTGACCAGGGTCAGGGCTCAGGGTGTGACCAGGGTCGGGGCTCAGCGTGTGACCAGGGTCGGGGCTCAGGGTGTGACCAGGGTCGGGGCTCAGGGTGTGACCAGGGTCGGGGCTCAGGGTGTGACCAGGGTTGGGGCTCAGGGTGTGACCAGGGTTCGGGCTCAGTGTGTGACCAGGGTGTGGTCCGGTTCAGGGCTCAAAGCAGGATGAAGCCTCAGCTAGTGACCAGGATCAAGACTCGGAGTATGACTGGGATCAGAGATAAGTGTTTCATCTGGTCAGGGCTCAATCTATGACTGGGATCAAGGCTCAGTCTTGTGAGCATTTGGGAGCATGGATGGTGTTGAAGCAATGACAGGACAAAGCTGGCAGTTTAGGGAGGAAATTAGGTTTTAGGGTGCATAGGGTGTGTAGAGAGTTCAGGAGAAGACAGGGTGGGGGCTCACGTGGTCGAAACTGACAATGGCCACGTAAACGGCAAACAGGAATAGCCGTGGGGGAGGGGATGAGTACCCTGGAGAGGATCAGAGAGGTGAGGGGCAGAGAGATGAGGGCTGGTTCAGACTGGGGGGTTGGGGCGTCTAAGCTGCAAGGAGAGTCTGCCATGTGAAGGTCGGGGAAGAGCATTGGGCAGAGTGACCAGCGTGTGCAAAGGTCCTGGGGCAGCCCTGAGCTTGGCGGGGAGCTGGCCTCCTGCAGGAGGCTGGCCTGGTGCAGCCTGCTTGGCCTGACGAGGGGCCAGCCTCGCCCTGCAGGTCTCTAGCCCGACCCTCCTAGCAATGCCTGGAGTCCCTGGCACCCTGCCTCCCACACCACCTGTCTCCTGTCCACACCACCCAGAATCTGCCGACTGGGGCTGTCAGGAGTGAGGGATGAGCCAGGTGGGGAGAAGGAGGGAGCGGGCGAGCAGGCAGTCGCAGGCTGCCAGGCCTGATGAGGGCAGACGGAGGCAGGTGGTGCACAGGGCAGGGCAGGAGCTGGCCCGGAGCGGGCGTGAGCCACTTACCCGGCCACCCGTGACCTGCGTGCGTGGCGGGCTGTGGGCTGGGCCCAGCATCCTGGAGATGGTTACTGGGGTCATCCTGACCTCCACCAGCCTTGGCCCTCAGTTTCTCCATTGGAAAAACTGCATGGCAATGTGCTCTGGGGCTCGGTACTCCAGGCCCTGCTGGACCCCAGCTGCAGAGGGATTGCCCAGAGCCGAGTGCCCGAGGACGCGGCGGCATCCCCACACGTGGCACGCATTGCCAGGGCTTACAAAGTGTGTTGTGGGTGGCTGAGGTGCTTGTGGGCGAGGCTACTTTCTCCTACGAAGCCCCAGTGGCCTGGGCTAATCCAAGACATCTGCCTGGAGGAGGCAGCTTTAGAGCTGAGCATGGCGGTGGGTTGCAGGACTTCCAGAGATGAAGAGAAGCTCAGCAGCTGGCGTCCAGAGGATTCTGCCTGAACAGAGGCACTGGACCTGGCAGGCGTGAGGAGCCAGCTTGGCACTGGGGCAGGAGAGCGGGTTGGGGTGCAAGCCCACAACCTCACGTGGAAGAGGGGTGAGGCAGCAGGGGCGGAAGAGGAGAGCCGGGGCATGGGGTGGGTGGCGGAGATGGTAGGCAGGCCGAGGGAGATCCTCACACAGGAGGGACCCCGGCCAGTGGGGGCTCGGTGGTCACACTGTGACCTGGGAGCAGAGGTGTGGTGGGTCACCAGGCAGTTAGACCAGTGGGGAGGCCCATGCCCAGGGGTGCTGTGGGCTGGCGAGCAAGGAGATGCCATGAGCACAGGTGGCCCAAGAAGGCAAGAGGACAGCTGACCCCAGCTCACCTGGGGAACCAGGGCCCAGGACGGGGGAGGCACTGCATGAGGTCACCCCTTGAATTTAGGGTCGAGCTAGTCCTCAGAAGAGGACTCAGCCTCCCCCGCACCGGGGCGCCTGCTTGGACTGGACCGTGGTACCCACGTGTGCTCCTTTGGACAGTACCACTGACCGTGCGCCCAAGCTGGCCTGGCCTGGCAGGGTCACAAGGTGCAGAGCCCATCAGCTGCAGGCCAGACACTCACTGCTGGCAGTGGGACCTAGGCTGGGACAGGGTGATAGCCAGAAGGATCTGGGGATCAGGAAGGGCTTCCTAGAGGAGGTGGTGGCAGGAACAGACACTCCCAGCAGTGGGACCTGGGCTGGGACGGTGACAGCCAGAGGGGCCTGGGGATCAGGAAGGGCTTCCTGGAGGAGGTGGTGGCAGGAACACTCATTCCCAGCAGTGGGACCTGGGCTGGGACAGGCTGACACCCAGAGGGGCCTGGGGATCAGGAAGGGCTTCCTGGAGGAGGTGGTGGTAGGAACAGCATGCGTGTGGATGGGAGCACAGCGCAATGTGGGCACGTGGTACTGTCGGCATGGTGGAAGGGCGGAGAGAGCCCAGGCCGGGTTGGTGGGGGCAGTGGTGCCGGGGGAACCATCCCTAAGGGCCAGGCTCAGAGCTGGGGGTGGGGGTGTAGAGACACTGAGGGGATGAGCAGCCCCACTGGAGACCCAGGGGTCAGTGAGGGTCTGCAGGGCTGTTTTGTGGGGTGTCAGGTGAGCTTGGGGTGGGCGAGCCCTAAGAAGCCCCTCCTTTTCCAGGCCTTGCCCTCTAGACCCCTCTCCGACGTACTTTCTCCCCCTCCCAGAGCTGCTGGCTGGGGGCTCAGAGCTGTCTCACCTTGGTCCTCTCTGAGCTCTGGGCGGTGGCGTGCCTCCCTGTGAGGTGACACAGTGGGGGCCGGTGACATGGGGCATGACCATGCAGCTGCTAAGGGTCCCACATCAGCCCATGAGCAAGGACTTGTGAGTGCTGTGGGTGGGGAGCCGCCCCGGCAGGGTCTGAGGTCCCAGTGGCCAGAAAGCAGCAGCCGTGGATGGGCGGGGCTCCAGGTTTGGGAGCAGCAAAGGCCCCGAGGTCCCAAGGTGGGATGGGGGAGGGGACAGCCTTGTGAGGGGGCAGGGGACTCGAAGGCCAACTTTGAGCAGGGGAGGGTGGTGCCACCGTGTCAGACAGGAGTCCCAGGTGGGGGGCAGAGGGGGACAGCTAGAGGGTGGAGGGAGTGTGCAGGTAAGGGGAGGACCTGCTGGCACGGGGGTGGGGGGTCAGTGCAGAACGGGCAGGCACTGGGTTGGGGGCACCACGCGGGGGACTGTGGGAGGAGCAGGTGGGGGCAACCCAAGGTGTGGAGGGGGAGTGGAGTTTGAGGTGCCAGTTAGATGCCCCGGAGCTGGAGCTGGAGCTGGAGCTGGGGCTGGGGCTGGGGCTGGGGGGTGTCTCGGGGAGGGGGGAGGGTCAGCTCCGCCACCACCCCGTAGGGGGTGCCTAGCAGAGCCCAGTGCCCCCGTCTGTGACACAGGGAGAACCCTTCCCTGGAATGGTGGAGGTCGTTGAGGGGGAGGCTGAGCACAGGCTAGGGGGACACGGGAGGGACCGAGGGGGCTGCTGGGCCTGGGGGCTGAGGGGAGAGGGGCTGGTAAGGTGGAACCGCCTGGGGTCCCTGCCCTCACCTGTGATCTCCCACGCCCGCGGCGGCCGGACCCGCAGAACATGGAGAAGGCGGCCGTGCCATCGGTGGCGCTCATCGTGGGCTGCGGCGTGTCCTCGCTCACACTGCTCATGCTTGTCATCATCTACGTCTCTGTGTGGAGGTGGGTGCCGGCCGGCGGGGTCCCGGGAGGGGCGGCGGCTCAGGAGCGGCCCGCTCGGCCGGGTGCTTCCTCTTCGTCGGCACCGCTGCCCCCACCCCGCCCACCATCATCATGGACGGTGCCACCCCCCACCGTCCCCCGGCACTCTATGACCCCCTCCTCACCAGTGCCCCGGCTACCCTCCCGGTCTCTCTGCCGCGCCCCTCTCCCTCTCCCATAACCCCGTCTGCCCCTGTCCAGGGCTCCTGGTGGTGGTCACCTATGATGCTGAGCGACACTGATGGGGCGGGGGCAGACAGATTATCTGCAGGGACAGGGTGGACACAGACCACGCCTTCTCCCCCTGCCCGCTAAGCATATTCCCCGGTGGTTGCCAGCCCATGCCCACCGCCCAGCAAGCTGAGCCGCCTTCAGCGTGCCTGCCGGCACCCGCACAGTCAGGCGCAGTGGGGAGTGGGGCGCGGTTGCCCTGTCTGACTTCCTGGGCCCGTGGTCTCTGCCCTATGCGCCCTTCCCCTGAGGCTGCAGGTGACCACCCCAGGGCTCCCTATCCACCCGCCTGCGTGGGGCTGCACCCAGCAGATGTGAGGAAGCAGGCGAGAGGACTTGTGTCTGAGCCAGTGAGGAACTGGCGGGGAGGGGGGTGACGGGCTTGTGAGCGTGTGTCCAAGTGCCCAGCAGCATGGCTCCAGTGGGCGTGAGGGTGCATCCCCGAGTAAGAGCCGAGTACACGCATGTGCTGGTGGGCGTCCCATCTCCCTGCCCCACTCCATGCCCTTTGGGACACGGTTTGGGACAGGGAGGTAAGTCCAAGGTCACCCTGCCGAGGCACCCACCCACTGGGGCCAAGCTGCGACTCCCAGTGTGGCCAGATGGACGTGCTGCCACCATGCCTGGCTGCCCCGGGCAGCACCATGTCAGCCGATCATCGGAACTGACGGCTTGCAGCTCCCCAAGGTCGGGTGAGAGGTCGATGTGCCCGGCATGGGGAGGGGCCGTTTTGTGAGTGCCCGCGGCCATGAGCAGTAGGCTCCACTCACCCTTCTGTGCCCCGAGGGCAGAGGCCCCTGACGGTCAGCTGACCTGGCCTGGAAATGTCAGCACCAGTGCCCCACCCGCCCGCCGGAGCTCTGGAGTTGGGATGGGGTACAGTTGGGTGAAAGCCGGGAGCAGGCAGAAAGTGAAACCCAGGATCAAGCTGTGTCCCAAGGGTGGAGTGAGAGGGAGAATATTTGCACGCAAAGGGGGGGCCTTTCCGAGGATGAGCCATCCCAGCCGGAGGGGACAGCTGTGCTCAGGGGCTCCCTGGTGCCTTCCTTGGTACCTGACTGTGTGCCGTGATTTGGTGTGTGGTGGAGTGGAGGTGACAGATGGTGGCGGTGATGGTGCTGATGGTGGTGGTGGTGTCGTGGTGGTGGTGGTGATGGCAGCAGTTGTGATGATGCCGGTGGTGGTGATAGAAGTGGTGGCAGTGGTGATGGTAGCGATGACGGTGATAATGGTGGTGGTGATGATCGTGACGGAGGTGATGGCGGTAGTGGTGGTGACAGAGTTGTTGGAGGTGGTGACAGTAATTTTGGTTGTAGAGGTGTTGGAGAAGGCGATGGGAGTGATGATAATGGTGCTGGTGGTGATAATGGTGCTGGTGGTGATGGTGGTAGTTGTGATGATGCCAGGGGTGGTGGTAGGGATGCTGGAGGCGGTGACAGTAATGATGATGATGGTGGAGGTGGTAGAGACTGCAGGGAGGGGCTGGGACCCTGGTCTCGGTGCTGGCCACAGGCCCCCAGTTCCTGCGAAGACGAGGCCTTTGGGGCGCTGACTGCAGGCCGCCACCCTCGCACAGGTACATCCGCTCGGAGCGATCTGTCATCCTCATCAACTTCTGCCTGTCCATCATCTCCTCCAACGCTCTCATCCTCATTGGGCAGACCCAGACCCGCAACAAGGTAGGCGGCCTTCTGCTGTGCCGTACATATCCCAGCATCCCGGTGGGCTTGGGTGGACCCCCAGCAGGGCCTGGACCTGGGATTGATGGGGAGCTCGGGCTGGGAGGAGGCCGCCCAGAGCCACCAGTGCAGCCTTCAGCGCGACTGTAACCAGGGCCCCTTGCCCCCTTGGGCTGTCGCAGACCCCTGGCCTTGTGGGGCCGTGGGGACTTGAGTCCTGGACTCTGTGGCTGGCTAGCCCTTTGAGGTCAGCCAGCTCTAGCTCCCTGTGGCCCACCATGGAGGCTGGATCAGGGCAGGGGCACACCTTCCTGAGACTGACTTACACTGCGTGGCCTTTTCTCCTGAGCCCCTTGTGGCCTGCCACCTGCTCTGGCACCAGGACCCCAGGCTCCCATGTCCATCTCTCCCCTGTTCACCCCTGCCAGGCTTTGAATGAAGCAGGACGGACATAGTCCCTCAGCCGGCCCTCCCCGAGGTGCCCCCACCCATGCCCCCCACTCT